TTTTTATCTAAAGGTCCAAGAGTTTTCTTTAAAAGATGGACTGATTCGTGTCACCAGCGAGGCTGGAATCGTAGGAAAATGGCTCACTTTGTCATTGAAAAAGTTATCTCTGATTTTTCTTTGAAATCCTCTAAAAAACGCAAGAAATTCCATTTCAGAAGGTTCGTTTTTCAAAATTTCCCGGGGGAGCATGCCCCCAGACCCCCCTTGGAGCCTCGCGCCCTCGGCACTCGCTGGTCCCTCAAGCTGTGGGAAGAACCCCCCCCCCTTCAAAATCCTGGCTACGGGCATGTCATTTCACAGTCTACTTACCCCACAGTTTCTCCCCAGCCTGAAGACCGTCGCCCGTGTCGCCCCCCTCCCCCTTCATGGGGAAGCAGCAGCACGACGTGCGGCCTGACTCCGGGTGACTCCGGATCACCAGCCGGTCAAAGTTGCTCTGCAGAACGTCGTCGAAGAACATGGAGAAGATGTAGAGAACGTACACTACGAGCAGGCACAGGGACTCACTCCTGGAAGGAAAGAAAAGTCTTAATTGGTTTGATATTTGGCCATCTACATTCTTTGTCCAAAAGTTGAGGCACATCACATAGTCGTCCACACTTCGGGCATTGTTGGTCCGTTTCCAGGACTGTTGCTTATTTTTGCTGTTCAGGAGTGTGTCGCTTGGCATGCTACTTTGTCCGGACCTTCCCCGAACCCCTGTAACAGTGTCTGTAGCTGATGCACATTGTACGTTTCATAGGTACGCAGCGCTATCATGAGGTGTTCTTACCAGTCTATTTTGCCGTTGAAGATGATGATGATGAGAACTCCGAGAGAGAAGATGTACCAAACCGTATCTCTGGTCAGCGGCCAGGGTTTCAGGTGCACCTGCTGGTCCTGGGGGAAAATAACACAACAAACAAACAAACAAACAAACAAACAAACAAATAAACGAGAGAAGTAACATTTGCAAAGCAAATGCAAAATGTTTACCTTTGGACATGGTCTGCATGCTGTGTTAATTCTTACTCAAACACATTCACATACATGTACTACTAATATATGGTGACAGGAGTAGCGCAGACCATGAAATTGCAACATTATGTAACCCAACACCAGTCACCATGGTGACAGACGTCAAGAAATGATGCCATTGGTCAGGTCATACATTTGTAGGTCACTGTTTGGAGAAGAAGAAGAAACAGAGCAAAAACAATGTTTTCCTTCGGTAAACAAAATTAGTGGGGGCTGGGCATTGACTTATAGCAATTACCAATCTGAGCTCAAATATCCAGGACAAAGCATGTGTTATGAAGTCATCAGTACTTCAGACATGTTTGCTCTTTCGCCTACATACCTTCCGCATCATTAGGCAGCAGCAGCCGATGATGAGAGTGTAGTTCGCTACAGCAGTGCCGGCCATCACACCCACTCCGATGTCATTCTTACTCACAAACACTCCTACAGAAACACAGAACACAGTTCCTGTTAGTTCGCTACAGCAGTGCCGGCCATCACACCCGCACCGATGTCATTCTTACTCACAAACACTCCTGCAAAAAACACAGAACACAGTTCCTGTTAGTTCGCTACAGCAGTGCCGGCCATGACCCCCACTCCGATGTCATTCTTACTCACGAACACTCCTGCAGAAACACAGAACACAGTTCCTGTTAGTTCGCCACGGCAGTGCCGGCCATGACCCCCACTCTGATGTCATTCTTACTCACAAACACTCCTGCAGAAAGGGGGAGAAATATACTAAGCACAAAAGTTCGGAAACTGAAAGTTGATTATTCATGTCCAAGTTGTTATTTCATCAATTGTATAGCATCATTGTTGCACAAAAACGTCATCGTAACAAACGATGAAAATCATTTGTAAAGAAAATAAACGACTGTGTAAAAGAGAGTGTGACTGGGCAAGTCGATGAGTGAGTTACTGCGTGATCATGAGATTGCTTCTGTGTATTTCAGGTTGGAAATAGGCGACTTTCTCAAGAATACATTTTGTCTGACTGTTTCCAAAATCATATCCAGCTGCTTGAGTAACTATTTTTTTGGCGTGAAACTGATCTCGAACCAGTTTAGCTCACTGAAGAGCTAATTGTCCACTGGCACTGGTCGTGACAGAGAAGACAGACGCTATGTACAGTATTTACAGGTTCATTGAACTGGGGAAATTCCCCTAGCTCTTTTCAACAAGCGCAATGAACAGTGGACCACGGCTTAACGTCCCGTCCGAAGGACTGCGACCCTAAACAGTAGCGTGCTTGTCGGGTGAGCGAGGGATATCAGCCGGGATGCGAACTCCCAACCTCTTAGTCCAGGATCGCTAACCACTGGACTACGCACTGCAATACATTCGATGATTGACATTTCCATCTTACCTACAGCAGAAGACACGAGTTCCGGCATGCTCATGCCCAGCGCGATCAGGGTCGCTCCCGTCACACTGGGCTTCAGGTGCAGGTCTGGAACAAAAACAGAACCACTAATTAGAGAACCAAACTTTACAACAGGTTTTCCTTAGCATAATTGTACAAGGGGAATTCTACTAGCTCTTTTCGAGTTTATAAACCCGCATTTCTCCTCTGTTATTGTTTTTTTTTTGTAGGAAGGGAGTTTCTAAATGGTGTCAGAAGTGGGATTGAGTTGTACTCACAGTTAGCTATGATGAGAAGTGATGGCATGAAGTAGTCCTCACACACGATGGCGGTTCCCAGGAACATGTACACAGAACAGACAACATGGAGAATCACTGCGCCTGACTTCAACTGTTTCACTGTAAATACGTCCTGGGGAAAGTAAATGCTTTTTTCAATATTCAACATCGATTGAATGAATGAATGAATGAATAAATGAATGGATGAATGAATGCATGAATGAATGAATGTTTATTTACGTGTCTTGCGACGTTTGTCGCCCAGCCCCGATGATAAGACAACAGAACATAAACATGAACATAACCATAGGTACAGAAATCATAGAATTGACTTTGATTCCACAAGCAAAGATGTGTATTATTTCATAGCAACATATTGACGAAGAAAACCGTTCAAAATTTCGTCAAGAGCATAGGAATAAGAAATATGTGCTACGTGTATCATGTTGAGTATCAACAAATAATTGTTTATACAACAATATGCTGGATCGATGTAAGGAGAAGACTGATTCAATTGTAGATGTGACTTTACCTTGGGGTATTCATCAATGGCATTTTTTCTGAGGACCGGTGGCTGTACGGTACAGTTGGACCCAAGAACAACAACGTCTGCCTCCTGGCGAGGTACCCTGTGGTCTACAAACAAACAAACAAAGAAAGAAATAAACAAACAAAGAAATAAACAAGTCTCACGGTGGTTTTAATCGTACTGATATTACTGTCTTTTTTAACGGGTTAGCTCAGTGTAAGGCCACTTCTGGGCACTGAACTAACGCCCACTATTAAAAGCAGCAGCTCTTTTCAGACTCAGTAGCAGGCTTATAGAACTGGGGGTTTGGTGGTCTTCGGCTGTTTCCTGATTAGCCTCCGTAGCAGGCTTATAGAACTGGGGCTTTGGTGGTCTTCGGCTGTTTTCTGATTAGCCCCAAAACGGGGGTAATTCAACCAGGCCGGCTATGTTGTCTATATGCAATCAGACAATAGCACATAAAAGCTCCCAAAGACCCTGAAGACCCCCAAAAGCCCAGTTTTTTGGCATGCTATGGAGGCTAATCTCTTCTCCCAAAGTCAGAAACATCAAGCTTAGGCACGCCTGACTAACTGACTCAATAGGTGAAACAGGGGGCACGAAGGCTAGCTGCTCGGAAAATTCTCTACCCTATTTGTTAATGTGTTTAATATATTAAATAGTAGAAAGTTGCGAAATGGATGTAATAATATACAAGAAGAGTACTCTTAGCTGGTAGTAGGATTACACTATACATAATACTCTCCAAACAGAGCTTGTGGGGGAATGATCGTTAGCTTTTTATATATGGCCGTTTTTGTCGCTACCCCCACCAACGTCGGTGGCCGGCGACCTTCTCTGGCTAATGGATACTGCCTGGCCAATTTGATACTGTCTTTTGCCACCGAAAGGGATCTGCTTGGAGATTAATACAAACAACCAGTTGACCTATCAATCTATTTAATATTTGGCCAATTTCCAGCAAACCATATGCAGAAGTAACGTCCCGAAAAGCAGGGCGTTCCTTTGTTGCACGCGTCGATCAGTCATAAACGGTACCTCCTGGCCTTAAGGGCACGACAGACAACTCCGAGTTGTCTGAACTTTCACTCATGCATCATGAACAAGGGAGGTCTAAATTTTAGATTATAGTAATGCACCAAATTAGTGTAACCAGTAGTCTTAGGAAGCAAGTTTTAACGGTAAATTCTAGGACAAGAAATTGGACTTGAAATTCCATTAGTTGTGTTGGAAAATTACCGTTCAAACTTGCGTCATAATGACTTCTACCAACACAGATGAGCTTTTAAGATAAGCCAGTAGCCTTAACAACGCTTCCGAATTCCATGCAATAAGAAAAGCGATCCATGCCGAGTATCTACACACATGATGCACTGCTTTGTGTACTGATATGATTTTGAATATCTCTATATCATGTAAACTATATATATAACGAGCGACGAGCCCCCACAATAGCGTCCGGTATTACGTGTTTGTACTACCAACATTGGGCCCTGTTACATACATCGTGCGATCATTGCAAACTGATAGCCACCGTAGCAGGCTTATAGAACTGGGGGTTTAGTGGTCTTCGGCTGTTTTCTGATTAGCCTCCGTAGCAGGCTTATAGAACTGGGGGTTTAGTGGTCTTCGGCTGTTTTCTGATTAGCCCAGTTCTAAAAAAACGGGGGTAATTCAATCAGGCCGGCTATGTTGTCTATATGCAATCAGAAAATTAGATAGCACATAAAAGCTCCCAAAGACCCTGAAGACCCCCCCCCCCAAAAACCCCAGTTTTTGGCATGCTATGGAGGCTAGCAAACTGAGTACATTCCTGAGCCAC